TGGTCTGAGTCTACCAGGTTGATTGCAGTCCTCGGGGGAGGATTTGCCCTGGAGGAGGTGGGAATGGGGGGTAGGCTGGGGGTAAGGGAAGGGGGTGGGAGGGGGGAGAATAGGGGAACCCGTGGCTGACATGTAGAACTGAATGGTATTGTAAAATAAAATAAAATATAATTAAATTAAATTTAAAAAAGGAAAAAAAGAAAAATGCTGGACACAGCCTGCCCTGGAACCTCAGTACTGGGGAGGCAGATCGCTGGGGCTCTCTGGATAGCAGCTAGCCTATCCGGTGAATTCCAGGCTAATGAGGGACTCTGGCTCAAAAAAAAAAAATCGACAGCACCTGACCTCCACATACACAGGCACATATGGGTACCACACTTACACAAACATGCACATTCACATACACACAAAGCCGCCTCTTCAAACAGGAGATCCATACTGGATCCATAAGTACTGGAAGCAAGGACCCCAATAAATAAATTTGGGTGAATTCATTCAGCCCAGAACACTATCTATGCCCCGTTTCTGAAGGCCAGGTGTTCCAGTTAGGAAAACTCCAACCCTATCAGAATGCCCAAGACCTCAGAAGCAGAATAGCTGTATTCACTTAGACAACAGTGCTGAGTGGGAATGGGATGCAGGTGGCTGAGAGTTTAGATAGAGGTCAGATGTGACTTAGTGGAGACAGAAGTTCTGTCTGAGTGGAAAATAGACAGTTTGCTTGAGCGGGACACTCTGGAGTCCCTCCAGGCATTCTTGTCTAACTGAAGGGATGGGGGAGAAGGCTCTATTGGCCTGAAAGCTGTCCCCGCTGTCCCCACAGGCTTCCTGGAGAAGAACCGAGACGTGCTGAGCACAGACATCCTCATCCTGATTCACTCCTCCAAAAACAAGTTCCTGAAGGAGATATTCAACCTGGAGTCACCACAGGCAAAGCTGGGCCATGGCACCATCCGCCAGATGAAGGCAGGAAGCCAGTCTGCCTTCAAGGTGGGCTACTCACCTGCCACCCTCGCTCCAAGGCACTGGCCCAGACAGCTGTGACCAGGAGAGCCTTTATTCACAAGTCCCCAGCATGCAGCAGCCCCAGCATGCAGCAGCCCCAGCATGCAGCAGCCCCAGCATGCAGCATCCCCAGCATGCAGCATCCCCAGCATGCAGCATCCCCAGCATGCAGCATCCCCAGCATGCAGCATCACCAGCATGCAGCAGCCCCAGCATGCAGCAGCCCCAGCATGCAGCAGCCCCAGCATGCAGCTGGCACCCAAGGAGGCTTATGCTGGAGTGAAGAAGAGAAGAGGAGAGAAAGAGTGAATAAAGGAAAGAGAGAGACGGAAGGAGGAGGAAGGAGAGGAGGAGAAAGGAGAGTAATGCAGAGGGAAGGGGGAAGAGAGGGAAGTATAAAAGAAGGGAAATGGGCTGGAGACGTGGCTCAGCAGGTAAGAGCACTGGCTGCTCTTCCAGAGGACCCGGGTTCAATTCCCAGCACCCACATGGCAGCTCACAGCTGTTTGTGACTCCAGTTCCAGGGCATCTGACACCCTCGCACAGACATATAGGCAGGAAAACACCATTGCACGTGAAATTTTTAAAAATCATCTTTTAAAAAAGGGAAGTAGAGAAGAGGAAAAAAGGGAGAGAAGAAATGAATGAGGGGGGAAGGAAGGAAAGAAGGAAGGACGGAGGGAAGGGAGAGAAGGAAGTGAAAAGGGAAAGGAGAGAAGGCTTGGGGGAGGGGTGGAGGAGGAAGTGTGTACATTTGTCCTGGGTAGCAGCCCCCACTGTGGCCCGGGCCCCCAGTTCCCCAGGCGTAGCCCCCCTGCCCTTACGCCTCTTGCTTTCTCTTGGCAGCCATCAGACTCCACCAAGCGCCCCCTGACGCTCGCGGGCCAGTTCAAACAGTCCCTGGAGCAGCTGATGAGAATCCTGACCCACTGCCAGCCCTACTTCATCCGCTGCATCAAACCCAATGAGTACAAGAAGCCGCTGGTAACCAGGGGAGGCTGGGGGCGTGCCAGGACAGGGGTGGTCCTGAGGGGCTGAGTTTGACACCTAGAGTTAATATCCGGGGCGTGGCAAGCATTACAGCTGTCAGCTGCCCCCATGTCACAGAAAACTGGTGTGAGTCGGTGGCAGCGCAATGCTTCACTCACAGCCTAGCTTTTTAGCCTTTCCATCGTCTGCCGTGTGTGATTGGCCAGGCTCTGAGCCTCATTTTTCTCGACTTCCCTAAAGTCAGACTTAGTCTTGTTTATAGGATGTCAGAAATGAAACTGTGGTCACAAGAATGCCCACGTGACCCAAAGTATCTTTGAAAGGCAAGCTTCACCTCCGTAGATGGGTGATCAGCAATGGCCAGCTCCAGCAAGCAAGCACACGTGGTGGGACGTCGGCTGGGCTTCTAGGACTCCACGATGCCGTGCTTGCTCTTGTTGGTCAGAGTCGGGCCTCACGTTCTTACACGATTGGCTCACCTCTACCGAGCTGTGCAGTTTGACCCTTCAGGCCAAAGTTGACATTTGGGAAGGCAAAACTCAAGAGAATCAAAACTTACGTCTGGGAACTAGAAGCTATAAACTTACGCAGAGGTTTGCAACATGGCATTTTCCCAAAATGGAGTGGTCTTGTCTCAGCTAACCTTCTGATACAAAAGACACTATGTCACTCGGAAGGGATAAACACAGGTAGGAGGTGATGCTGTGGCTTCTCCCTTGTAAGAAGCCACACTTAGCAGGAGGCAACAGCTATTTCAAATGCTGGCACTTAAGAGTCAGGTCCACTCCTGTGGTAAGACCTGCAGGAGCTTTATCCTCAGGTGGTGGGGACAAGGTGGACACCTATGGTGGCCTGATCTATAGAACCCGCTCCCTAAAAGGCTGTAAGCGCAGGGGCTCCCCAAACTAGGGAATATGACTTGCAAAGACAAGATAACTAGAAACCATACCATAGGGGAATATGTGTACATGTTAGTGTATGATGAATGTGTGTATTATGGGGGTGCACATATATGTACACGGAGGATAGAGTTTGATATTTGCTATCTTCTTTTATTGCTCTCCAAGTCATATAGTTCTTAAATTATTTTGTTTTATATGTATGGATGTTTGGCCTGCATGTATGCGTGCATCATCTGTGTGCCTGGTGCCCATCGAGGCCGGAGGTGGAACTAGAGCTGGAACTCCCCTACAACTGGAGTTATGGGCAGTTGTGAGCCATAATGTGGGTGCTGGAATGCAAACCCAGGACCTCTGGAAGAGCAGCCAGTGTTCTGAACTGCTGAGCCATCTCTCCAGCAACCACCCCCTTTAAAAAAAAAAAAAAAAAAAAAAAAAAAAAAAAACAGTATGTGTGTGCATGCGTGTCTGTGTGAGCACATGTGCACATGAGTGCAATTCCTTGTGGAGGCCAAAAGAGAGCATCAGATCCCCTGTAGTTGGAATTGTGGGCCTTGTGAACCTCCTGGACCTGGATGCTGGGAACTTAGGTCTTCAGCAGGAGCACATGCGCTCTGAACTGCTGAGCCACCGTTCCAACCCTGCACCTTATTTGTTGAGACAGGGTGTCTCCAAGAACCTGGAGCTTGCAGATTTAATTAGACTAGCTAGCCAGCAGGCCCCTGAGATCTGCTTACCTCCTCCTACCATCACTGATATTGTCAGGACACGCCTAGGTTTGGTGGTGGTGGTGGTGGTGGTGGTGGTGGTGGTGGTGGTGGCGGCGGTGGCATTTACTGTGGGTTCCAGTGGCAGGTTGTCATACTTTCCTAGAAAGGAAATTGCATTTGGGCTGACAAATGGCTCAGTGGGTGCAGGTACTTGCTGCCAAGCCCGATGTTCTGAGTTTGATCCCT